GTGTGTGTGTGTGTGTGTGTGTGTGTGTGTGTGTGTGTGTGTGTTGGTGATCTGAGCAGCCTGGTGCTGGGTATTGTGAGGCACAATTCATGGACGATGTCTCCAGATGAATGCCTCCATTCACAATTACAGCCTCTCCATTAGCTGCAGCCCTTCCTGCCTTGTTGTTGTCTTTTCTTCATCTCTGGAAGAAAAAAAGCAATTAAAGCAGGACAAAAACAAGATAGAAAAACACAAGCAGTGTACCTGGAGAAAAATGGCGTTGGGGAGGATATCATGAAGGAGTACTGGAGAAGACTCTCTCTACGCACATTTGTTTCAATTTGATTTCTGCAAAAATGTCTTTAAAAATCCTGGATTTTCTGTCAGAATTTAAACCTAAATTCTACATCTACCTTATCGGCTCACACAGCTAATCAGCTCTGAACATAGATAATGTTTTAGTGAGCCTGCCTCACAATTTCAACCTGCTGAAGACTCGAGAAAGTCCAGGTAACTTTAGAAATGTTTGAATTGGGATTCAAACTTTACGTAAAACGTAAGAGTTAGCTTCTTATGTCATTTGTAAAAAAAATATTTTTCCATAATCGTTTGTCTGCAAACAATGTCCATCRTATCTATTTTTATATGTATTTGTTWTTGTCAAAAATTCTGGCATCTGGCAACCCTGAACAGGATGAAACTGACACAGAAAGTTAAAGTATTCATTTTGGTTGCCATTATAAGCTGCTGGAGAAATAAATGATGTAAATGTTTAAGTGCCTCTTCTTATTTTAGGATAAAAATCAGGGAGAGGGTCTGACTTTTTGAAACTTTTTTTATATATTTTGGCCATGAAAACATCTAGAGCCAAAAGAAGTAGCAGAGAGCGATTGTTTTATAAATATTCTTGAACAAATTCATAGAGTTAAACCTGGAGGATGAGAGATGTGATAGATTCTGGAAATGTTGGTCACAAGGTGAACTCATGTGAACAAACAAAGATAATAAAGCCAGTTTAGAAATAACAATTCACCAAATGTTTTGTCTCTGGATGATAAAAACCTGACACACCCAGAGAGGTCTCATGTTTCTCACACAGAACCTGCAGATTTAAGCTCAGGAGCTTCTTGCTGTTGACAAAAAAGAATCCCTGCTGCAAAATTATTTCATTTTAGTGAACTTTAAAAGTATTTAGAGGTTGTAATTCAGGTGCCTTTATTATTGCTGCATTTTAAAGGAAATGAAAACAAACAATAAATGAAAGTGAATGTTTGAATCCTGTTCAATTCTGTTTCAGTAGGCAAAAAATTGAAATCATGTAATTTGTGATCTTAACACTTTGGAGATTTGTCTCCATGAACACTAATGAAATAAAAAAACAACCTGAATATGTTTTCATCCTAAATGAAAACCACATTTAAGGTTGATCTTGTCTAATAAGATATAAGTTTTATAACCAGGCTGCTGCTGACTCTTTGATAAATATTTTCAAAAAAAAGTCTCCAATTTGTCTCAAAACATTTGCAGGGTGGGCTTCTTGTTGGAGTTTAAATTTATTTTTTAAAAAGTGTTTCTAAGTCTAAAATAAGCCATTTTTACATGCATCTTGAACCATTTTCTATTTCGTTTCTGTAAATTTTAGAGCTGTTCTGGGACCTGCGTGGGAAGTCTCTCATCAAAAACAAAAAATTCTGCTGTTTTCTCACAAGTTTGAGTCACCTGCAAATCCCCACAGTCATAGATACAACTTCAAAGTGGTATTGACAGAGGTGGTATTAATTAGCATATTATCGATCCTCACACATTAAAAAAACATTGTATTAAAGCCACAGAAGATGCTTGTATGAGCCTGTTTGTAAGAAGCTACAAAGTATAAAGGTTATAATGAATGACAGATGAGCATTTAAGAAAATGTGTTTGAACTTTTCTTCCATTCTTTTTCCCATTTCAGAGGGGTCCCTGCAGAGCATTGTGTTCATGGGGTCGCATCACCCCATCCCTCACGGTGGGTTGTACCGGAGGAACCCCTCCACTCCTCTGGATCTGCTTCAAAGAGTTTACCAAATGGAAAGAGACGGGAAGGTGCGGGCCGCTGACATCACGCCCCCTGCCAAAGCCAAGGTAAGAGTACTGTACACAGAGTTTAAAGGGAAAAAGGAAAGAAAAAAAAGCTCTYGCTTCACACAGAGTTCACATACTGTGATTTACTGTTCCAATAAATCACTGAGGCTGCCTAATTTCCTATGGATTTCAATTTCCCTCTGGACATATCTGCATTGATCAACTTCAGGTGTGAGGATGTGCCAGGCGTCGCTCACTGTGACACTGAAGAATGGCTCTCACATCTCTGCCTGAGTGTGTGTGTGTGTGGGGGGGCGGGGGGTGAAGGAGTACAACAAGGGGATTTGTGCACATGCAGCATTTCTCCTCGGCGCTGTCGTCACTGTCGAGGCATTAGGATACAAATCCTCCAGTCTGAGTAATAACATCTGAAAATGTCAGAATCCTACAGGCAAAGATAAGGATCAGACAGCTGAATCCATGACTCCAGATATTGTTATTCTGATCATATCTGCATATGCATTGAGTCTGGGCCTGATTAGCAGAGATAATTAAACATCATTCTGCAACAATTGTTACTGCAATAGAAAAGATCACAGCTCTTCAGAAATTAAAAGACATTTCCGCTTCAAGTGACACAATTCTCTTAGATTTCGGATTTGAACCTTTTCTGTTACGCCGCGTTATAAGACCMGTTGTAGCTCGAACAAAAGTTTGCATCCGGATGAAAGGTAACTGTCGCTGGTTGTCGTGTCCTTGCAGGGGGGTACACAGTCCCCAGGTCTGCAGAWGAGTTTTGAGCCGGGTGTTAGGAGGCGAGCAGGAGGTCTGACGACGTCTTTACCCCCGAGTTCCTCCCCTAGAGGCAGATCTGAATGGATTGTAGAGGCAAGGAGGAGAAATAAATTGGAAAAAAAGGATAAATCAATGCCTGGCAGAGAGGCAAACAGACCTTCCAACCCCCCCCAGTACACACACACACACACACACACACACACACACACA